AGGTTTGAGGGCAGAGAGGGTGATGGGAAGCCGCTCAAGGCACTGCTCATGGATCAAGATCGAAGTGGCTGCAGCCGTCTCGGCTTTTTGGATAAGCTCCCCACGATCGGTGAAGCCGAGAGCCATGAGCCGCGTCACTGCCGCAGTGGCCCTTGGGGGCCTAGCTTTGGCGCCTGCCTTCCTTTCCCCAGCAGCGCCGTCAACCCCCGGCCAGAAGCAGCTGCGTATCGGCACCGTGGCAGAGCCGTCCTCCAGGCCATCGTCATCTGCTTCCACCTGCGCAGCTGGCGCAGCTGGCGTGCTGGGCGCGGCGGCAGTGGCATCCCTTGTTGCCAAAAAGCCTGTCCGCTCCGCTGTCGCTTGCCAGGCTTTCGACGCCAGCTCGCAAGTCGGCGTCACGCCACCTTTCGGCTTTTTCGACCCGGCTGGCTTCACCAAAGGCGTGGATGAGACGGAGTTCAAGCGCCTGCGTGGTTGCGAGATCAAGCATGGCCGTGCAGCCATGATGGGAGCTTTGGGTTTGCTCGTGCAGAGCGTCTACAAGCTGCCAGGCTACGAATCCGTGCCCTCTGGTTTGGCCGCCCAGTGGTCGGAGCCAGGTGCACAGAGCCTGTGGATTGTTTTCGTCGCCATCGGCCTGCTTGAGCTTGGCATGGCCCCATGGAAGGAGGACCCTGCCAACCCAGGTGACTACGGTGATCCGCTGAACCTGGCCAAGGGCAACGTCTCGGACGACATCCGCAACCGAGAGTTGAACAACGGACGCTTTGCCATGTTCGCCTGGCTGGGAATCGTCAGTGCCGAGCTCTACACCGGGAGCTCCGCCGTCGCTCAGTTCGCAGTGGCACCGAAGCAGGTGGCCCGCGCCTCCAGCGGCTTCTGCGGCGTGTCGCTGGCCCGAGGGAGCCAGCGCAGCCTGAGCCTGAGCAGCCGCCGGGCCTTCGATGGTGCCAGCCAGCCTGGTGCTTCCGCTCCTTTGGGCTACTTCGACCCACTGGGTCTCTCTGGCACCCAAGAGCGATTCGACAAGTTCCGCGCCGCGGAAGTGAAGCACGGACGTGTGGCCATGCTCGCCATCTTGGGATCCTTCGCCGCACACTGGGCCACTCCCCTGAACGCGGGGGCCGGGGCCGCAGGCTTTTCAAGCCCCATCGGCGAGAAGGGCTGCGTGGCCTTGACGTTCTTCTGCGGCTTCTTGGAGCTCGGTCCCTGGGCGGATGGATACGCCAAGGCCCCGGGTGACTTCGGGGACCCCGCATCCTTCGCTGGCACGCTTGGAATTACCAACATGGATGAGATGAAGACCAAGGAGCTGAACAATGGACGCCTTGCCATGATGGCGACCATCGGGATGTGCGTCCAGGAGGCTACGTTCGGAGAGAAGTTCACCGATCTCCCAGCACAGCTTGGCTTCTAAGCGGCTGGAGAAAAACCCTTGTAGTGCTGTGGCAGCTGTGCGGAGTGCGGGAGTGCGGGAAAAGGAGCAAGAGCGAGCCTGCATTGCCCTCTCATACAGAATGCTTGCAATGGAGGGATGGTGGCACCACCCTGTGACTTCTCAGCAGCTACAGTTCCTGTTCTGCTGATCCGTGTCAGGCCTGGAGCGTCTCGCTGTGGTGGATGTCTCAGCGAAATTCAAGGAGCCCACGAATTCGTGTCCGCATGGATGCTGGATGGCTCGTGCTTGGCTCCATTTTAGATGCGGCCTCATGGAGGATCATCAAGCATGTCTGCGTCGTGACAGGTGAACTCTCATTACTGCAGGGTAGGTCCTTACCACGACAGGGTTCAAAGACACACTGACAAGATTTCAAACCACAACGACAAGCTAATTTCTTACCCTACAAGGGTTTAGGCTCAACCCTAGCAGTATGTGCTGGTGTGGAGTGGAGTTCTCATTCCGAGAAGCTTTGCATCAGTTCTCATTCCGACAAGATTAGCATCAGGACAGAAGTGTAAGCTTGACACATGCAATTCAATCATGCCGCCCCCCCCTCTCCCCCGCCACACGCGGGGAATCACCATTTTGAAGGATTTGGGCTCTGAAAATGGCAAAATGGTGATTCCCACGCGTCCCCGCCCATTTTGGAGGCTTCAGGCTCTGAAAATGGCAAAATGATTCCCACACGTCCCCGCCCCTCTCCACCGCCACACGCGGGGGAATCACCATTTTGGAGGATTTAGGCTCTGAAATTGGCAAAATGATCCCGTGCATCTCTGAAAATGGCAAAACAGGAACGTGCGGAATCACCGTGATTTTGCCATTTCCAGAGCCTAAATCATCCAAAATGCCCCGAGTGTGGCGGTGGGGAGGAGGGGGGGAGCCACGCGCGGGAATCACCCGTTTGCAATTTTTGAGAGCCTGTATAATCTTCCAAAATGGTGATTCCCGCGCCACAGGGGGACGCACGGGAATCCAAAGTGGTGATTCCCCTGCGTGTCGCGGGGGAGGGGAGTGGGGACGCGTGGGAATCACAATTATGTTGGAAGTTTCAGAGCGTAAATCCTCCAAAATGGTGATTCCCCCGCATGTGGCGGTGGAGGAGGGGGGGGGGACACGCGCTGGAATCACTCAGTATTTTGTTTTCTTCAGAGGCTATAAATCCTCCAACTTGGTGATTCCCACCGTGGCGGTGGAGAGGGAGGGGGGGTCACGTGTGGGAATCACTATTTTGCCAATAAATCCTCCAACATGGTGATTCTCCCGCGGGTGGCGGGGAGAGGGGGGGGGCACACGTGGGAATCACTATTTTGCCATGTGCTGATGCTGGTATGTGCTGATGCTGCTGATGTGTCGTGCTGCTGCTGATGCGTCCTGCTGCTGCTGCTGCTGCTGCTGATGCCTGAACGTGGTGAGGCTTTCACGCCTCATCGTGGTCAGGTTTTCAAGCCTTGTCGTGGTGCTGACATGTGCTGATGCTGATGATATGTGGAGCTTTGTTGCTGCTGCTGCTGATGTCTTGTCGTGGTGAGGTTTTCATGCCTTGTCGTGGTGAGGTTTTGATGCCTTGTCGTGGTGAGAATTTCAATGCGCTGTCATGGTGAAGTTGTTTTTCTGTCGTGGTGCCAATATTTCTTGTTGTGGTGCGGAGTCTTTGTTTCTGTCGTGGTAACAACGCGCTCTCCTCATTACTGTGATATCTTGTGAACGGGCAATGCAATTTGTACGAGAAGCGGATGAAACTCAAAGGATGTTGGATGAATGTGCGTTCGCAGTTGGTGTCGTGTTAGGAGATGCTTTGTGTCCCGATGCCGTGTTTCCACGGCAGAGACACCACAGGATCTTGGTCGGTGATGAATGCAATGCTCGTTCTTTTGCACACTAGATACACAGCAAGCTTGCTTGGAGAGTTGTCGAG